TTTATTTTGTTGTTTAATGAATCTTTTTAATGAATTTATTGTTTTGTTTCATATAAATTTATTACATGTTGATCAAAAGTCATGATGTGTCTTTAAATTGATTATAAATTTTATTTATACAGTTTGTGAAAATCTTAAAGTTCGGGGTTTTTTTTGCCTGTTTAATCTTATTAACAAAAATTGAATAACAAAAGAAGAGCATGTTTTTGCTGTATCGCTTGACAATAATAATAATAAATCCGACTAGGGTTTGAGATATTTCACACACTGAACAAATACATAATTATTTGAAAGCAAATTTTAGTAAAAATGACAGCAACAAAAGGGATGAAAGGATTTAGCTTCGGTATTATATAACAAATAAAACATGGCCTTCCGGGCAACATGCAAGTTTACGGACTGGTTGGTCAGACCTCGGAAGGTATATGTCCCTCAGCTGCGCTTCGGGCCATATACCTTCCTCAGTCTGACTAATCAGTCTGTAAACTTGCATATTGCCCTCAATGCCATGTTTTATTTGTTAAATAATGCACTCCTGTTGGAAGGTTGTTATATCAAAATGATAATGGGTAACGGTTTCGGAGGTTATCGCGCTGGTCAAGGGTTCTGAGATCATCTCCACCCTCGCTACGTTGTTGTCTTTTTTGATGATCTCATAATCTTAAATCCCTTGTATCTGTGTTATACACAAGGAAACAGAGGAACGCCTACTGTATGTGCATGTCAGCTTTATTGCACAACAAAATGTTGAAAAAACATTAACTTGAGCATTTTACGACTAAAGCACGCATTTATCAGCACAAAACTAAATTTGAAGCTTTAGGTATGCTGGATAAAATATCACAATTATGTAACACATTTTACACTTTAATGTACGGTATTGTTACAAAAACAATATAAATATTAGTGTATGTGCGAATGTATGTATAAATGAGCTGAGAAAAAAGGTATCTCTAAGAGTATTTTAAACACTTTAAGCAAGCTGTGTAGGATATCTGTAAAAAGGTCCGTTGTTTTTGTTGTTTTGTTATTCATGTTTGTGGTTAAACCTGCACAATAATCCGTAAAATTTCAGAAAAAAAAAGTAAAATACACGGCCCATGAAAATAAAGAACTAGAAATGTGTCGTCACGCCACAGATGCCCCCGCATGCAGCCAAAAATTCAGATGTTCCAATATTTAGTTCCAAATTTGTTTTCACAAACTATTTTTATTTTTTCATTTTAAGTTCAAATCCTTTAAAACTATTCATATAGTGTAAATTTAACCTATTTGTAGCCAAAATAATGACAACATACATTTCCACAAAAGTATGAAAGCTGAAACTGAAAATTCAAAATTTTTCCAACATTCAAGAGAGATAACTTTGTCCAAAATCATTGAACCACAACCAAATTTGAACTTGAACTGCTTATTCCTAAGATGTATCTATATGTCAAATTTGAGTTGAATTTGTACAACCATTGGCGAAATAATGAACGGAAAAACTAAAAGTTTCTGATTTTTTTTTGCAAAGTTCAAGAGGTAAGAAATCTGTCAGATATCATCAAACCATGGCCAAATTCAAACTTGACCAGTGTATTCTTATGACATATCCATATCTAAAATTTGAGTTGAATATGTACAATTGTTGGGGAGATAAAAGAACTTAAACTAGAAATTTCATATTATTTTAAAAGTAAAAGGGGCATAACTCTGCCAAAATCATCAAAACAAGACTAAATTCAAACTTGACCTGTGCATTTCTTTAACGTATCCATATATCAAATTTGTGTTGAATGTGTAATACAGTTGGGGAAATAATGAAGAGAAACTGAAAATTACATATCATTTTTAAAGTGAAAGGGGCATAACTCATCGAACCATAGCCAAATTCGTCCTTGACTTGCGCATTCGTCTGCCATATCCATATGTCCATTTTCAGTTGAATGTGTAATACAGTTGGGGAGATAATGAAGAGAAACTGAAAATTACATATCATTTTTAAAGTAAAAAGGGCATAACTCATCGAACCATGGCCAAATTCGTCCTTGACTTGCGCATTCGTTTGCCATATCAATATGTTAAATTTCAGTTGAATGTGTAATACAGTTGGGGAGATAATGAACGCGATCTGAAAATTTCCAATTATTTTTATAGTGAAAGGGGCATAACTCTGCCAAAAATCATGGAGTCATGACCAAATTCGAACTTGACCTGCGCATTCTTTTGATGTATCAATATTTAAATTTGAGTTGAATGTGTTATACAGTTGGGTAGACAATGAACGGAAACTGAAAATATATATTATTTAAAAAAAAGGGGGTATTAATTTCAAAGTTAAAGGGGCTTAACTCGGCCTAAAATCATCAAAAAATTATCAAATTCGGAGTTGACATGGGCATGCCTTTTCAAATTTAAGTTGAATGTGTTGGGGAGAGATAATGAACGGAAACTAAAAATGTCATATTATTTTCAAAGCGAAAGGGGCATAACTCTGCCAAAAATCATCGAACCATGACCAAATGCGGACTTGACTTGCGCATTCCTTTGACGTATCCATATGTCGAATTTGAGTTGAATGTGTAATAAATATCGCTGGGGAGAAAATTAACGGAAACTAAAAATGTCATCAAGGGGCATAACTCTGTCAAAAATTATCGGACCATGGCCAAATTCGAACTTGACCTGTATTTTCTCAAGATATATCCATATGTCAAATTTGAGTTGAATGTGTGCAACCGTTGCTAATATAATGAACGGAAACTGATGATGAGGGAATAACGGAAGGACAGAACAGGGTAACATTATATGCCCCAGCCATTTTTTGGCGTAGGCATAAAAATGGTCAATGTTTTTAATTCCAAAGAAAAATATTCTTAACAAATAAAAGAAGCACATTGTCGGTTATTACGGATAAACGTAGAAATAAAAATGCCATAAAAGCAATAAATCGTAAACATACAAAGACATATAAAAAAACAGTTCTTTAAAAAAACATTATCCGTTTAAACAGATTTATGTTGTTATTTGCAATGAAAAATACAATGTTAAATCATTCGAACATGACAAGAATATAACATCTCAACCAAAGTTTTACTTTTTTGTGTATCGAATAAGGAACTCTGGATACATCTGGTTGTTGTCAAATATCACGAAGATCGTTGGATACAATGCGTTATCTACACATGAATCGTAGAGGTCGCTGCTTTGATTTGTGTCTTTACGTGGAGGGCGACAGTATAAAGGGTTTCCGCATACATATTCTCCTGGCAATATTTTTGCAACAAACATTGATTTGTCCGTACTTTTGTCTGTATAGAAATCCGAGTAGCTTGAATTTGTCGCAAAATAACAACCTTTTCCGAACAATGTTCCTAAATAAAATATGAAACAATCGTAGTAAGTTTCAATTAATTCAATTTCAACATTAACAAGAATTTGTAACAGAGTTACCAACGTCCCCCGCCTCGGGGAAGTTTTATATGTAGCATACAATTGTGCTATTTCAAAAGATTGAGGTATGGATCTAAGGACTTTCAGTCCAAAATTATGATCAATGCTAGATCTGCAAATGCAACAATAAAATTATTAAAGAAATAAAATCAATGTTAAGTTTTGACCTCTTAGTGTGACCTTGACCTTGGAGGTAGGGGTCCAGGTTGTGTGCATGACATATTGTCTTATTATCGTAACTAATTGTACCAAGTATTTTCACAATCCCTTGAACTATGAAGAAGTTATAGATGGGACACATAGTATACCCTCTAACAGACTATGTTAATCTTTGACCTCTTAGTGTGACCATGGAGGTAGGGACCTATGCTTTTGACCTGACATATCGTCTTATTATTGTGATTATTTGTGCAAAGTATTTCTAAAATCCCTTGATCTATGAACAAGTCATGGACTGGACACAAAATATACCCTATAACAGACTATGTAAATCTTTGACCTCTACATGTGACCTTGACCTTTTAGGTACGGACACTGGTGTTACACATGACATATCATCTTATTATAGTGACTATTTGTGCCAAGTATTTTCAAAATCCTTTGATATATGAAAAAATTATGAACCGAACACAAAATATACCCTATAACAGACTATGTTAATATTTGACCTTCAAGTGTGACCTTGACCTTGAAGGAAGGTGACCAATTGTTGCGCATGACACATTATCTTATTATTGTGAACAATTGTGGCAAGTATTTACAAAATCCCTTCAAAGATAAGAAAGATATAGACCGGACATGACATATACCCTCAAAAAGACAATGTTGACCTTGAATGAGCAAGTGTGACCTTGACCTTGGAGGAAGGGGTCCAGTTGTTGCGCATGACACATCGTCTTATTATAACAAACATTTGTGCCAAGTTATTTCAAATTCACTTGATAAATGACAAAGTTACGGACCGGACACGAAAGTGTGACGACGGATGAACGGAGGGACAGACGGACGGACGGACAGACGGACGGACAGACAGACGGAGCCTATTTCTATAACCCCTTTTTCTTCGAAAAGGCTGGGACAATAAAAAACTATGGAATATTATTTTGAAGTTGGAAATGTCGACGTCATAAGTATTGCTGACACTATATAACTATTGATTTTTTAATTACTGATATGACGCAAATAAAGATGCTCAACTTTTTAAAATGTTGCTTGAAATGTAGAAACAATATTTAATATTCAAACAAAAATGAATAGAGGTTATTATTTTCTTTGAAGAAGACGGGTTGATCCAAAATGCCAAAACAGTTTAACACTTCTTTTTTATAAGAATATCGAATAAGTATCGCTGAACAATAAAAGTATGGAAAGAGTTGAAAGTGGCCAAAGCACATTAACACATACATAAAAAAGAGCAAGCAGTTTTTACAACATGTAAACTGCAATGTACACTGCAAAGAAGTATGTTGATCGTATCAATTGACATTACTGCAGCGAGAATTTAGTTTTATATTTTTCCTGTGTTTTTTTATGCTTATGAAAAGGAGAAGTTTGAATAGTAATACCTGCTGTTTGTCCATTGAGTCTGAAGTCAAACCCTTGTTTACAGATATCATCTATATTGTTATTCATTGTACCATGGAACACTCTTGTTTCTCCGAGTTGTCTTTCTGTTTTCTTTTTCAACATCTTCGATTTCTTCCTTTATGTAAGTGAATGAAGAAACATGTCGAAGAATATCAATTTCGTATTCTTTTATATAATTACATACACAATGAAACATATATTGGAATTTTATAAACTTTAAACTAGTAAAGTGTTTAAACATGTTTAATTCATCGTGAAGTTTGAAACTTTACACTCATAACGGAGTTCATTGATTGAAGCAACGATTTGGCTAAACAAATGTATTACATTGATTCACGAGAATGATTGCTTGCATATCGCTTTTAATGATCCCCAATATATCCGAAAATGTTTAAGTATAAGGTTTGCATTTAAAATGAATTTTTAAATTCTGCAAGGTCTTCTAAGTTAAAAATCACTCCATGAGTAGAACATCTGAAACAATATACATACACACAAGCTTACAATACACACGTGTTGCTCAACGGAACGTAATATGAAATGCAAGCAAGGGCTGCTTTCAATAAACATTACCTCAACACACCAATCTACAAAGGACCACCGGCAAGGACCATTGCATGACACCACACAAAAAGGACAGGACAGAAGGCAAAGCACGAAGTGGGTGATTACTTTAATTATACATGTTATTAAGAAATATTAGAAACCGACAAGGATATTAATAAATAAAAATAAAAAAACTAGTGGCAAATGGACGATACATACCGTAGACAAGAAAACAACAGGAAGGGACACAACAGTATCACAATAATAGTATGAAACAACAAACAAGACATACAATGTATATCTGAGGAACACAGAGGGGCGCCGCCTGGAAACAGTCAGCGGTATAAGTACTGCTGGTATGTTTAAACCGGTGAATAGGGCACCAAATCTCTTAGCCCCACGTGTATTTTTTAAAGGAGACAGTGTATATTAAATGATTTACTGCCAAGTGAAATTCTAACAGTTGTTTGGATTACAAAATGTAAAATAAGTAAAACATAGAAATGATCTTGTTGATACATATGAAAGTAAACCCAATGACCATATCAAAAGCACTCAATGTATTAAATGAAAAAAAGGCAGAAAATCGCCAAAGCACCCGAAGAAGCAATGCAGAAGACCGAATGAAGACAATTCAGTCCCAAAGGGCTTAAAGAAATTTTCATCATAGAATCTCTTACTTGGTCCGTAAAGTTTGCCATTTTAATATTTATAGGTAGAAATGACAATGGTTACATTTTAAATTAACTTACATCATATAGTTCTCCCACAAATCACCATGTTCAATCCGTTCTATTGATTTGATATGAACGTCATGCAGACTTTGAAGGAACAATGATTTTATTTCTGTGTACTCTGAGTCTGATTCATTCAGCTGTAATGAGAAAATGTATTTAATTAATAAATGCTTGTATGATTTTGATATAGCATGTGTAAGATGATGTTAGAAAAAAGAACTTGCCTTGTATGCTTTTACTTGGCTGCTAATACATGTCATTAACGGACAATTGTGCATCATCTTTACCAGATTGATTTCAATAGAAAAACAACGATGTTTCTGAATGGCATACAGAATGTCAAAATATGCATGAAGGCTTTTAGTACACGTTTTTACTAGCAACTGAAATACTGTAGGTAGGGCAATCAATCAGCCTCTATAATCAAAGGAAACAGTGGCATATGTCAGGTGTATATGCACGTCGACGTTTATGAAATATACTCTTACACCACTGACTGTTATCGCTTAATAACTTGTAACCAGCACTATTAAATGTAGAAAACCCAGTAAAAAATACTTCCCTGTACATTCACAATATGTTCCGAAAGATCTTTCCACTTTGGTATGCTCCAATTTACCGGTGCCTTTATTCCTTTACTCAGAACAGAAAAAGTATAATTCTAAAAATGCTATCATACATTAAAGTTATTATTACAGTAAAGTTATTTAAAATTACAGCTGTAGTTTTTACAGCTAATGATTCATATCAAAGAGAATAATACAGTTATGAAACTATGCCAAAAATGCTCCTTACTAGATTACCAATACGTAGCTAAACTAAATAAAAAACCGTATTATTTGATAGTTTTCTCTAAAAGAAAAAGTTACATAATGCGCTATTGGAACATACTGGTTCAATTCAAAATTAAGCTTGTTGATGAATTCAGGCTGTCTGCACAATGCCCTTGTGGTGCCAAATGTAGTATTGCGCTGTATCATATTACAAAAATTGACGATGTAGTCAAATGATAGAGTTCCTGCTGTCTTAAAGTTTGCTTCACCAGTTGGGTCGGCAACAAAAGCTTCTTCTAATTCTGCGCTTTTTATTTCAGCTTTACATCCTTCATAGTTGTCCTATTATACATAAAACTGATTAAAACGCCAATCAGCCGTGAGCGTTATGAGCAATGTCAACTTTGAAATCAATCTGAATAAGAGTTTAATATGTAAACTATAAGTGAAGACTTGGAAAATAAACCCACAGTTTCTAAATTACTACGCCTCTCAGTATTCTTCTAACGTCAAAACATTTAGTACACATTCCTTATCACATTACTGTTATCAGTAATGAACACGTTTAAAAATCTTTTTTAAATGTGTATTCCGGACAGTCATATATATCATATTAATTTATATATAATATTTATAAAAAGTTATTATATCCGATACATAATAATTAACAGCATAATGCTAAATATGTATTACCAATTCTCCAAACTTTATCCACTTGTCTTTGGGATTTTTCCAATACCACAACCATTTTGTTCTCCATGTTTCGTTGCCGTGATTAATTGATGACGGGGTTGATAGTCTTTCTATTTCAAAGCGGGAGCCTCCATAGTCGTTGCCACTCATGCTTTTAAAATCTATGGTCATTCTACAAATTAAAAAGTCCCTCTTGATCAACACGGCATGCTTCCTTATCTAAGTGTGCAAGTAAATAATTAATGATTTGAAAAACAAATTTCTATGAAACGTCGGTATGTAAAATCATACCTATGGTTAAAAACGATGTGACTTTCATTGGTTGGATCACAAAACGACCGTTCTATCTCGTCATTTTCATCCTCACTAAACACTGTCCATCCCCGCGACCATCTTCTTCTCCATCTCCACTGATACGGCAAATCACAATGTACATTTTGACAGTTGGAGCCCCAACTACATTGTCCACGCAAATGATAATGGCATATCTCATCTGAAGAAAATCAAATTTCGTTTAAGATATAATTTTATGCTAGGTTCAATTTTATTTGTGGTGGATGAAATAGAGGATATTTGTTTGTTTGTGTGTAAGATGAAATTTTATTTCATCGAATGGGCTTTAAAAACAGTATTCTCACGAGTGGCGTAGCCACGAGTGAGAATACTGTTTTTAAAGTTCACGAGATGAAATAAAATTACATCTAACACAACAAACAAACAAATTTTCTTTTTATTTTATGCTTAAAAACAAGTTAAAACGAAATTTCCATACTTTTAAAGTTAATAATAAAATCTGTTTCCCCCATCGAGAGCCCCATTTAGTCGGAATTTCACATTAAAAACAAGAAGTCTTGAGCTGGAAAATAAGTCCGCTAATCAACGTTAAATGACGGTGATATTTATTCATTTTATTCATATCATTTTAAAAAATATGAATGATCGCCTGTTTTAATAATAAAAACAAACAATTCATGTAGGAGAAAAAGTATAACCATCCATCCATATTTCTGTTAATTACTGCGAATTTATATTAGACCTTGCTTTGTAAAATGTAAACGGCAGCCATTTTTCAAAGTTGTCTATTTCATGGGAGGAAAATAATTGTGTAAGATTCAGAGGGATATAATTTAGATTTGTTAGTCATAGAAATCTTATTTGAGGATTGTAACAGACAAAAAATTAGTGTTGACAGATGTGAAAACATTCAGAAAAGGAGCTAGGAAAATGGAAAACTTGGAAGCTTGCTAAGGAACGCTGGGTTGTTTTACTTATTCTTCGAGTGATGGCTGTCATTGCTTTTCAATTTTTCATAAAGCATACGGCAGTTATTGCTCGTAGGATACTTTAATATGCCCAAATCTCATCAAGAGCAGTTTTGCATGTGGAAGGAATGTATTTTTCAGACTGTAAAAATGAAACAAAAAAATTAGAGACGAAATTTGGTGATTGTAATTTGAATGAATAGAATTAAGTTTTCTTCTTTTAGTACTTTTGACATTTAAGTTATTTATCAATTTCAGCTTTGCTTTTTCTTTAAACAGCCTGACATTGTCAGAATTGTCAGCAAAAATAAAATTGAGGTACCACATGGGGAAAATCTTTAAAAAGTTGTTTCGTCATTGAAAAGTGTGAAATTATATTTTGATAATTTTCACTGTGAAATTATCAAATATAATTTTCACGGATAAATCAGTAAACCACTGAAAAGCATAAAATAATGGTTACTAATTTTGTAGCAACGTGGCATGAAATAAAGATAAACAAGCATGTCTCAAATAATATCAAGTGTGTGTAATTGGATTAGTTTCTCTAATATCATCTAAATATACGACACATTTTAAGTTTATTGTAGAAAATGTTAACCAAAGAAATTTTATGATAATCGATGCCTGAGCTAAGGTACACTTTTAAAACGTCCGGGCCGAAGCGCGACGCCCTTTATGAAATGAATTTATATTTTGTGGAAGAGCAATCGAAATTGTCTGGCCCTAACCGTCATTCTTAGCCGAAGACGTTCCGATTGGTGGACGGGTAGTGTTTGTTTATTGATCTTTTTAAAAACGAAACGGTCATTCGTGTTGCGCTATTGTAATAAATAACGAACTGGAGAACTTTGCAGGAATTGAAATGCAAACATATTTACGAATTGTTATATTATTATAAGAATAATAATTACAGTGTATTATCGTTATGAAATTGTCTTTTCCGTAGGTTCTTTCCGGTAAATTAATAGCTCCTTTCTTTTTAAGGCCCTGAATGCACTTCTGATATTTTTACCGTGAACAAATCGACCTTTAAAAGTGATTTCTATTTTGTTTTGAGGCAATCGATTTTCTGGTGGTTAGAATAGAATGTTGATTTGTCGAATACTGTGGCATTTCAACAACCGAGACTTTCGTCTATAATTTTAACTTGAAGTGTTATAGGGTTATTGATAGGAATGTAAACATACTAGTGGGTCAGACAAGGATTTTTAAGCAATTCAACAAAATAGTAGATTGATCTCCTGATAAATCAATTAACAATAACTCCTCATTTATTAACAATGTCAAATAGCTTTTATATCTTCGACTCGCATGAACATGAATCTGAATTTGGTCTTTTTAAAATTCATTCCAAATAAAATCCAATTAATCATTGTAAAATTTATAAGATTAAGATATCTGAAGATATCTGATCATCAGTTGTCTACTAGTTGTCTACTAGTTCATCTTCACTTGCTACATTTCTTGCTTGGACGCCGCTTGATGCTTTGCATCAATGCTTTTCATGTTAATTTTGCTCTAGAAACTTAATTAATGAGGGTGATCAGAAAAAACATATACTTTTTCTTTTACTCCTACATTTTGACGTTGGAAGACTTTTAAACTGAAGGATTATCTTCGCCCCCACACACCCACGCCCAGCCCCCAACGGACACTGTAAAACTCGCAACATATGTCAGCTGCATGTTTTAAAAGACACCTGTTTGCAAAATGTAAACAAACTTAACAGCCTTATGAAAACATTCCTGAACCATAACTTGGACAATAGGAGAGCTGTTTTCCAGAAATGAGAAACCTCTTATACAATATGTTATCACCCTGATTATTGTTAAGCCACAAAAAACATTCAGCTAACAAATCACACAAGCAAAATAATTGCTTCTAGTCTAAATGTTTGAATTATATATATAAACGTAACCTAACATACCAAATTTAAACACTTGTTAGACCATTTTCGTCCTAAGATACCCTTATTCATTATATCCCTAATATTCAACAAAATGAAGGACTGTTTTGAAAGTTTGCCTACTTTTTTGTCAAAAAGTATGATGGTTAGTCTTTACCATAACAAATATTAGATACGTTTACCGTTTACTTTTGTTATTTATTAGACTTTCAAAACATCGGATATCATACTTGTTATTGAATTCAGCATTGTTTAACTAATAAATTACTATAAAAATTATGCAATATACATATTAAACTCTTTTAACTTTCCAAAAGGGATCTGAGAACAACATAAATATTGTTATTTTATAAAAGGAAAATAAAAGTTGTCCGTTTTGAGGTTTTAACGAAGACCTTTAATTGCAATGCATTTTAATTACATTTGCAATTGAAGGAATTCGAGTCTGTTTAAATACCCTTCAAAGCAGATGTAATTCATTATTATATGAGGGGACCTAAGGCAGATTATATTCATGGTTTTATCAAGTAATAACCCGTTTTATGTATTATTGCCTTTCCACGTTGCAAAACATGCATACACCTCGGGCACCTCGGAACAACAATAACGTTTTTACATATTCTGGTACACTCAATTGTTAGTATACTTTTTATAGTCTGAGATATTAAAACAACATTCCGAGAAATTGTGTTTGCTTATGGCAAAATGTAATCTACATGAAGACGAGTCAATGCAGTGTAAGCCTTCGTGACAACACACTTTTCAGAGTGAAATACGTTATTTATCTACATGTTCTAACTCTGTCAAAGATACTTGACATGCGAAAAATACACTCAAAGGAGGGAATATACGGTCCCGTATTTTCAACATATACAGGAGTGTACGGGACGTATTTGTCTAATATACGTACCAAGTATACGAGTCCGTATAGGGAACACCGGGTATACGGAAAGTCCGTATATGGACCAGGCATGTACGGGATTCCGTTTTTGTTCCATATACATGTACGTAAATTTGTTCCTATTTTTGTAGTATACGAAGATAAATACGGGCTTTATCAAGACCATTTTCTCTACTATACTATATATATACAGTGGATATACAGATCCGTATTTTTTTAGATAAACAGGTTTGTAATTTCTACATATACCTTGGATATACGGAACCGTATTTTCTACATATACAGAGGATATACGGAATCGTATTTTTTACATATACATAGGATATACGGAATCGTATTTTTGATATATGCAGGGGATAACTGGAAGTGTATTTAGAGCAATGAAAATGTAATTCTGAGCTGATATTTTTGATATAAGAGAGCACGGACCATATCATTATCAAATATATGTATGAACATATGACACGCACACATGACTGAAATACAGGCTTGTATATGTTTGATAATACATTGTGACTGATAACTATATATTCATATGCATAAAGACTTAATCATTATTGGGAGTATATGAGGTAATAAGGCTAAAACCAATTCAACGCACTTTAAAGTTTTAAAGTTTAACAGTATTTTATTCATTCAGAAACATATAAATAATAGGTATGCATATTATACAAAATAAAAATGTCTACACTACAACTGTCACATACTAAGTGTAAACCTGACACTTGTGGGACAAATTAGAGGTGCAACGATATGGTGATATACCGGTATGTTACGATGCACACCATGCAGACATACCGCGAAATTTCCGTCAATTGTCAAAATATACATTTCAAAGTCTTGACGCCGTATGCCGTTTAAGCCATGAAATCTTGAAGGTCATTTTGACTAAGTATTACCGACTACAAGTCCAATTCCCCATGATGTTAACAAAATTTGACCCTCCAGTTACAATCCTGAGGGTCAAATCAGGACTTTTGGAAATTTGAAGAGTCAAATAGTCATTTCAAGGGTCAAACAGACACCGTGAACTATAACGACTCCGAGTTATATTTTTATCATAACAACGATTTTTATAAGCCATTTATGTTACACCTTTTATTTATTTGTACAGATTATAAGTATGAATTGTTCGTGTTTACAATCTAATTGAAGGAGTCATTAGCAAAAAACCGTATGCACAAGAATTCGTCATTCAAACACTGTACTTAAAAATACTAAACGTTTTAAAATGAATCATATAATACTAGAGCATTGGGTTTATCCAAATGTTACGTGACGTAGGAAACGTTTTCATAAGATATCATCCCCTGTTGGATGTGTGAAAAAAATATTAAATTCCTGTTAAAATAGTTTCATAAAATGATTATCACTACTTTCTAAAAAAAAACATACAAAATCTAAATTGATTTTCATACTCAAAAGTATAAAATCTTTTTTTTTTTTTTTTTTTTTTTTGGGGGGGGGGGGGGGTTATTAGGATTAATGGGTTATTTACAAGCAACCTTTATGCACACGATTTTTAAAATGTTAGGAATGATCAGTAATTTAATGTACATGGGATTTCAGTATGTATCACATGATTTCTCTTTTTCTTTTTAATGAAACCATTTAAAGCGTCTTTATCTCATACGAGTACATACGGTCCGTTAGGGTCAGTGCGAAGCTTGACAGTAAGATGGTGACAATTCATCGTACTAACGTATTGTCACCATCGCACTGTCGTACTTTCATCATCGTTCTGTCTTACTAGCGTATTCTCACCATCGTACTGTCGTACTGTCACCATCGCATCGAAACATAGTATTGCCGTCTAGGTTTTAGAAATGTAGTAATATTTTAAATTGAATACAGTTACTATGCATAAAATTCGAAACTAAGAATATATTACCACGCTTTATGAAAACAATATTTACTCTATCACAGATCAACACTCAAGGAAACCGAAAATAAACAGAATCAAAATCGATTTACATAAATAAAGAGCTCTGTGATAAACATTTACACCTGTGTCTGCATAATTTGCATTTCAACAGATAGGACTAATTTAGAAGTTTTTGTATTTGACTTTTTGTAAAAGATAGTATTTTCTTAAAAGACCTGGAATATTTTTTATCGGTTACAATTTCAAACTGCTCTCATCAATACAAAAATTTACGTGTATGTTTTGTCATTTTTATTATGACACTTTATGACACTGTTAAAGTTTTCCTTCATGTTTACATTTATTAATGTAACGATGATGTCAGTTCGACAGTACGATGGTGAAAATACGAAAGTACGATGGTGACAATAAGACAGTACAATGGTGACAGTACGACATTACGATGGTGACAATATGACAGTTCGATGGACTGTCAACATCGTGATGTCGTGCTTTGCCATCGTACTGTCAAAATTTCCGATTGCATAAAGGGACAAAGGAAATATTTTATCTATCACGTGCGAGTGTGATAGTATTACATGCGCACATGAAACCATTACCTGGCCACGCAATATGTTTTGCATATGTGCAGGTACGTAATTCGTTTTGGTGAAGTACCTTTTCCCCTTTATGCCACCGTAGAATTTAGCATAAAAAACAGCAACAACAACAAACAACATAGTATGTAGGTACTCACTCTCGGTCGATTGATCTTGGTCCTCTTTGTTTGTCGGTTTCTTAAATAGCTCGTCATAATACTGGCACTGGCAACCTCCGTCTAATTAAAATAAAGAAAAAAGCGTAAATTATAAGGCTAAAATACTATCTTCTCAAAATATCACAAAGTGATTGAACTGTATAAAATTTACATATCAGTTTAATATAATTATATGTTTAGGAAGGGAACGTAATTTAATAGAATAAGGGCACACACATTGTATATCTGATAAAAAGTGATCCATCGAAAGCATTTAAACACCAAAATACGTGCAATCGAGTTGTTTATAATATTTTCTATTTGATTCTTGCATATTATATAGGATGTTCTAGCATTTTCAAATGCGCTGGGGAATGCTTGTGTCTCATTTGACGTCATTCCGTGAAGTATGACACCATTAAGTCTAGTAATAATTAATACTAATAATATATACAAGAGAAAGAATCAAACACTGTTTGTAAGAATGGAAATTTCTGACTCTGTGTAACTCCTTAGCTGTTACTCGACTTCAAATATCTATCATGGTAGATTTAAATATTTGAGAATATATATTGTCACAAACATTTTTCTCACTGTAAACTATCATATTTAAAAAGGTCAAATAGTTTTAAACAATTTTAGGTAAAATATATAGAAACACAAAACCATTTTCTGAAACATCTGTCCTTTGAATTTCTAAAATTATATATCAATACTTATAAAAATGAATCATCTCAGCTATCAATTTAATACGGAAGGGCATTATGGCCAGGTGTTTGTTTTTTATTAACTCGAAATTTCGAGTTACTAACTCGAAATTTCGAGTAACTAACTCGATATTTCGACTTACTTATCTAGAAATTTGTAGTTACTCAAAATTTCGAGTTAGAAAGTCGAAATTTCGAGTTTCTTATCTCGAAATTTCGACTTATTAACTCGAAATTTCGACTTACTTTTCTCGAAATTTCGACTTATTAACTCCAAATTTCGACTTCATAACTCGAAATTTCGACTTACTTACTCGAAATTTCGACTTATTAACTCGAAATTTCGACTTACTTTTCTCGAAATTTCGACTTATTAACTCCAAATTTCGACTTCATAACTCGAAATTTCGACTTACTTACCCGAAATTTCGACTTATTAAATCGAAATTTCGACTTATATTGCACGAGTTTCATTGGTTACGGCTGAAAGCAAGGATTGAATTCAAGATACTTTCTTTCGTGTGTAGCTGCTGCACATTGACATAGCACCTATGTATTTAAAAGAACAATTTAATAAGGTCAATTTGTCCACACATACTGAACATATCCTTCGCTTTTTTGTGGAGGGTGTGGGTGTAAAATCACACTTTCCACATTTTCTTGTTAACCGGATGATTCTTTTTCTAAAGCACACATACAATCACCATGTGAAGATACAACAAATCCAAAACCCACCCTAAGAAAAACGTGCAACATTTATGTGTTAAATAAGTTTTAAATGGCGTGTTTACGCCAGTTAGTCTGTCACGTTTCTTTTCACTATTAATGTTTTTGTAACATTATTTACTAAGACTTTGATTCATATTTTGTTGATAAAAGTTGATAAAAGATGAACTTGTTGTTATATACATGTTGGGAATAATATAAAAGCATCCGATTTTACAAGAAATATAGTCAGTCCTACAAATTTGACAAAGGCCCCAGCACCCCTATTTTGGCCACACCGCGATACTTTCCTCAGATGTCCCACACGTGAAGTATAGGATCGTTTTATTCACATGGATGAGAAGAATATGATTAGTAAAAAGATATGGTCGAAGAGGTCGGATACAATACAACGTCTGAAGAACGCCTGAACGTACAAATTAAAGGAAGCCTTGTGTTTTTAGGTCGGGCGTGTACATGCCATTACTAAGTTTAAGTTTAACTTTAATAGTTTGTCCAGGCACCCGTTTCTCCATCTCCATCGTTCAACCACACTCCCTACTATATCTTATATTATCTAAACATATAATTTAACATACATGTTATTTTGACTAGTAATTTTCTAACTATGTACGTGTAATTAAGGCATGAAACATGCTGGTAGTGTTAATATACATGCCTGCGGGAGTTAAACATACATAATATAGCAAATCAAGCGGCTTTGAGCTAGAATACCGTCTTGCACTGTATATTTTAATACAAATAAAGAGTAATTTTAACATGTTAATAAATCCAGCAACAATACATTGAGTTAAAGCTTTAATTTATTATTTGATGTTATCCTGACAAATGTTTGATTTCCTCTTTTAGGAAATGGGCAATTTAGAAGTAAATCTTAACTATCTCTCAATTCTCTATTTCTATATACAGAATCCGTGCTTGTAAGAATATCGATTTTCGTATTTAAGCAATATACGACTTGTAAATAAAGTATGTATTTTAGTAAAATACGGACGTTGTACAACAATTCACGTATATTGTGAGTGTACGGATCACCGTATATTAGTCATATGCGGACTTGCAGACTTATAAACGGTCCCGTACATCTTCGTATTTCAAAGTTCCCGTATTTCTATCTGTATATTAATGATATCTATTCACCAATACACTTTTCGCAGTGATTCGGTTTCGGGTTTCGACCCTTTTTACTTATCAGTAGGCATCAAACTAATCCCTATGTAACAATTTTTTTAACGTGAAGTTTTTTAATACAATGTACTTACTTTTTTCTTTACTTAACAAAACTGTGTTTGTACAAATAAAGCTTAATTTTTTATCATAAAAGCAGAAGATCCTGCTTAAAACTAACTTGTTACTTTACAATTACAGAAAATGTGACATCATTGTTTCAATTATTTTATGTGCTGTGTTCAGCAGGCCGATTATGACTAGCATGTACATTTTCGGCTCACATATTTCAACAACAGTTGAAATCATAGGCAATTGTGTGACTATATTTAGTAACAAGTGTATTATATATGTATATTTTGTACATTACATGACATTGTGTAATTAAAATAAGATGTTTTATGTTCAAAATCAAAAGATCGTTCTACATAAAGTGATCAGAATTTATTATTATTATTAAAATTTGGTTTGTTACATCTGGATAGATTTACTTGTTTCTCTTGCTAATACTTTAAATATATTTAAAACAAAGGACAATAATAGTTAAACTTATATAATATTTCACGTATGATGTTTTTAATAACATTACTCATGAACGATTAGCCCTTTCAAAAAGTGTGTGTTGGAGTAATAACTTCAATATAGAAAAGAAAGAAAAGCAAATTATTTCAATAAGTATATCCAACATTATATTAATCATTAATATCGCGGATGTGCAAAATGGAATGAATGCAGATTAATGAAGAAATAAGTAAAATAATAAAACGAAGGCAGTATGACAAAACCAAACATGTGCATTTTAATGTGGTTTTTCTTATGAGAAGAACAACGTCTATTTAATAGTTTTATGTTTGTGAATGACAATTATTACACACTTCTTTGAGCATCTATTCATGTACACAAGACAACATCAACAATACTTATAATAAATGGAACTGTTTAAATGTATAAATAAATATTGTAATAGTGTATATACTTACCTCTTTTTTCACCTGCTGGAACGTTTTCTTCAGAATTTACAATCCCATCAAAATCTTTACTTACAAGTAAATTGTTTTATTGAATAAAGTTTGAAAGCGGTCTTCAGCTGATCTAAGTGCTAAGTATGTTATTTTAGATAAATCGTTTGATTCATATAATTGTCAAATTAAAAGAGTTAAGGTGGAACGATTAAATCCATAAACAATAAGAAAACCGCTCGATACCTCTTGTCTACCGGTTCGCTCTCTATATGTGAATCAGTAAATCGAATTCGTTTCCCGATCTTCTATTCTAGATCTTTTATGTGATATAAATAGCTCTCGGGACGATGTTTTGGAACGTTTAACATAGATCAAATGCACTTTCTAAGAAAGAATTATTTTAATCCTTAGTTTAAAACAAAACAGAATTCTACGGAAGCGTCCTGGTGCCAATTTAACATGCTCTATAAGAAAAGATAACTCCTACGTAGGAGATAAAAAAAAGCCTAATTAGGAGTTAATAACTCCTACGTAGGACTTTATAACTCCTACATAGAGGAACACTTATAAAGTTCTACGTAGGAGTTATATACTCCTACGTAGGACTTTTGAACTTTTGAACTTTTTGAACACCTAATTATGTTCTTTTATCTCCTACGTAGGAGTTATAAAGTCCTATGTAGGAGTTATAAGGTCCTACTTAGGAGTTATGTTTTTTATAGAACATGTTAAATTGGCACCAGGACGCTTCTGTAGAATTCTTTGCCAACAACAAATTAAAGCTGAAGGCTGCTTTAAATTGAATGCAATAACTGAATTAGAACTTTTCATAAGATAAATGATTTTTTCGTTAAAGCATGCAGGTAAATAAATTGTTTTAATAGGATTTCTACATGTACGAGTAACTTAAAAATTCTAATCGTTGCACGAGTGGATTTCCGCAAATTACACAATGAATAGACACTAATAAATGCATTTAAGGTTTCCTTTATAAGAAGAAAGATACAGGATTTCATAACTGTAAATTTTGACTCAAGTTATATATTAAGTAGTTTATTTAAACTAGTGATTTCTAACTGGGCAAGAGATAAAAAGGGAAATTATTTGAAAAAGTCGTGTCGCGCATTATATCAATTGTGCTTATTTGTGCCAATAACTACAATTTTGTTTGCCAACTAAAAGTTTATTGTCAGGATAGAAAATAAATAACCCCTTAGTTCTGCTCATATTCAAACTGTGAACCATGTTTTAAAAAAGTGTTGTAAATGTTTACCATGCCATCTTACAATGAAATATCTGAATAATATGTTTTTTTTTCTTATATCAAACAAAGGGTTATATTAAAGTAAGGGTGATTTAAAAAATGACCTTTAAGTGCCTCTTGACTGTTATTTTACTCCAGGTTTATTTCAGGATAATTGATTCTAGTGCAATTTTATAGTGTTGCATAATTCTAAAGCCGGTGCTAGGGGAGCATGGGATATCTCATACCTTTCGTGATCTCTTATGAACAAATTAAATAAAACTTTGACTAATATTTCTTCTTTTTTTTTACTTTTTTTTTCTTTTTGTTTTTATTTCATTGCTAACAACAACTGATCCTTGTTAACGAACTACATAATTGATAAATGATAAAGCAGTCGAACTTTTATCCTAGTGAGAGAATATATTTTACGTTTGCTATACGGAAAAATAATAATAATAAATCTGATCCTTACAAAACGCTAAGTTTTAGGCTACATGTTATCATAAAAAATCTGAACTTTCACCAAAATAATAAAAAGTAACACTTTTTTATTTAAGTATTTTAATAAAATTATTTCATAATTAATAGGGAAATTGCTATGTATGACTACAACTAGTTTAGGTTAATTGATTGATAGATTGATTGATTGATTGCAAAATTGACAAGACATAGAAATAAATTGTGACAATAATAATTCGAAATGTTTTGATCACGGATGTCATATATCTAACAATTGGATCAAAAATTTAAAATAAATGTATATTAGAAAAATGAAACCAGTATGTTAAAATCAAAATGTATATTTCAATTTTGTATTAATTATAAATAGAAGATGCTGATGTTTGTGCATGCCACTTTTATTTAGTATTGATTTAAGTACACAACAAATAATATAAATTTAACTTAAATGTTTAAACATGATCAGTCCATATTTGTTTCGACTTCTCTTATTATTAGCTATGTAACTCTGACTTGACAAGAGACAAAACGACAAAATTCTTTAAAAGGATATCAAGTAAATTGATAATAATATATAACTTTAGTTGCTTGTAACAAAACACAGTTAATGTATTATGTTTGTGTCTCATAGCATTAAGAGAAATGGTTTGGTTAGTTTTAATTATTTTTGTTATAGACAAAACCCCTCTCAGTCTGATATTACATCATATCAACTATAGAAAGGTGATGTTTGCAAAGGTGAAGATATACCTTTCAAGATATACCATTACTTTGGACAATCCTTCAATGTTCTTAAATTGACATCCGTGACACTTTATTTCCGTTAAAAACGTAATTGATTCTGTAAAAGCGTTATAAAATTTCGTTTCTAATTTACGAAATTGATTTCGTTCAATCGCAATATCATGTCGTCCGTGGACATCACCTTCCACTTCTCTCAGTTTTGGATGGTTAAATAAAAGCAACGTAGAAAAAGGGGAATAATTCTACAAATGTGTTTGGCAGACTAACATGCTATCGATACTCAATAAATGTTTAAAGTGAAAACGGTTTTTGAAAAAGCATTTATTGTAAATAACAAAAATGAATATTTCATGCACCTTTCAAGATTTTTTCCCTTCAGAAAGCATTTCAAATTCCATTTGACCTAAGCCAAAAGATTTACCAACCCTGAGAATCTATGTGGAAGCCATTAAGAAGTAAAACCCGAAAAGGAACAAAACCATGATAAAGTAAAATGCATTGTGTGTAATATTTCATTTTGAATTTCTGCAATTAAAAAGTACAAATGTATAAACAAAATGATTATTACCTGAGTTGCTGAGTAGAAATATGGGACTGATTTCGTTCCCCATACGAAAGACACTTTTGCTGATCTAACAAAATCAAACCATGTACCATGTCAAACCAAATGTCACATTTATGTAAGAGGTCAAAACAACAACACCTGTCAAAAAGATATTTTTTTAGAAACAATTATCCTTATAAGCCATTAAGTCATAGAAGAAAGACTTTAACTAGTTTTTTTACGGTCGAATGCGCCTGTCTAAAACCAGTTTGACTTCCTGTAAAATTTATAGGGAAGAACTGATAAGAAGATTTTTCATTGGTCATTTAAAAATTATTAACTGAAATATGAGAATCTCCATGGTCATTTTAAAATAAAATGTAAAGGAAGATTCGTGTCATTCTAAGATATTTCATGAACTAAAGAATAAAGGATAGTTCTTGCCATTATAAAAACGTAAAGAATATTTCTAAAATTTTACAGGATATTTCTTTCTAATTAGTTAAAAAATGATATTTTAGTTCTGTTTAAAATTACTTCTTGCATTCACGTCGCATTACACTTTCTAGTGAACAGTTTATTTTTCGTAAGAATTAACTGAGTTCATTTTACACAAAATTTTTCCAAAATAACCGGAATGATATCAGGACTTATCAGGTATCTTCACTTGGTTTTTATACGTGTCTGACATGCTTATTGATGTGTGCATAATGTTTATATTTTATATAATTTTGTATATTAATCAAGTATTGATGAAAAGTTGCCTACCGACTGCGAAGATGTTGGTGTGAGAAATGGAGTTCACTTACCAAAACACGACAGGTTTGTTTAGAAACACATACATCTTTAAGTGTTAATAGCCCTTCAAGAAATTAGTATGTCATTATCATTAAATCTATGCTGACATTTTATATGACTTTGCATGGAAAACTAAGATCTAACATGCATTTTAACCAGTTTTACATGGGCTTGAACAGGCTGAATCAAACCGAGCCTACAATATTTTCAAATTTTTTCTTGTTGGGCTTTCTTTAGGGATTCTTTATTCCTCTTTATTTTGTTTGAATGATAAGTAGTTAATTTTAGTCACTATGAAGTTGACATTTTGTTCTCTTTGCAATGTAAAAGTTGATATACCGTGACTATAAGCACAGCATAATCCTTATTAATCCTCACTTTAATGCAAATGACTTTTTTATCCTTTATTATTTATTCATTTGTTTAAAAAAAAATTCTTTACCAATAAACCCTAACTGTCAATGTAAAGGAGTTATCTACAAGTACTGACCAAACATTGAGTAATCGATCAAAGCAGTCTTTTCATATTGACTACAAAGACCTTGACCGTTGACCAACTTCCCTACGAATTATTGACTTTCACCTTCTAAACATGACCAGAATTACACGAAATGGATTTGAACACCAAGCAATCTGCCAGGATTGCAGCCAAAAGCGTTCTCTAGTATTTATTATGTTTCAAAGTTTGATAAAATCAAAACAAACTCAAAGGTAAAAGTGTTTAATATTTTACAAGATCAGTCAACATAATTTTGAATGAATTTAGGTTAATGAATTTGTGAAAACAGCCCCCTCCTTATTCGGGTAAATTTTAGCATTTTGTTAATTAGGCCCTTTAAGAAGGAAAATTGGTCAATCATGTGTAAAAATTGGTGGGGTAGTGTAACATTTTAAATCACATACTTTTCTGTGTTCAAGGCAATTACGCTTATGACCGCATGGTCATTTTACCTCAAAATCATATACAGATAAATGGCCTTACACAGAGTTAGGTACGACTGTAGACATAAAGGTTTTTTTTTTTTTTTTAAAAATCTTTGGGAGTTTACAAAACATTTAAAACTTTAAACACATGACACTTGATTTTTAAGCGACATGCACTTGCTAAGAAGAAGCGATAGAGCGATTTACCGTATGCCTCCGAAAGAGGTAGCTCTATCATTTACCAGTCGTGTCTCTGCCACCAAAAACATTTTTATCAATATTTTTATATTTTATATTTTTTTAGCTGTTGCATTTATTTTTCATTATTTGTATACTTTTGAAAATTATTTGAAAAACTATAACGAAAGTAGGCACGTAAAGTTAAAAATAAAACAGAAAGAGAAAAATGACGTTAGATGTTCTTTATAACGGTCGGTATTTACATTTGAATTTCGACTTCCGTCATGTGACTTTCATCATCATGTGACGTCTGTGAAATTCTGCAAAGGGAGGTTATCACTGTGAGGAGTTGAGGGTGTTCTAGCGTTTTCAATTGCGCTTTAAAATGCTTATGCCTAAATTGACGTTATTTCATGAAGTATGACATCATTTCGCCTGAGCACGGATTCTATTAAGATAGAACATTGTATTTATTACTAATCACATTTATTCATGTCAAATGTAATGCGTGTTATAGAGGAAATTTGACTTTGATTTAAGAAAGAATAAAACACATGCTGTCAGTTCGGACTGGAGTCTGGGTAACTCTTTAGCTGTAACTCGACAGACCATTCATAGCTTTACAGACCTCCGTCCGTGTAATTGCCTTATTATATATTTACAGAAATGCATAAATGTATATAACTATTTACACCAGGATCTCAAGTATTAACTTCTTTGATAACGGAAACATTTAACATAGAGACCCAGTTATGAGACCCCAATTTAATTCCCTTATTTCTTACGTGAATGATATTAGAAATTAACAGCGAATAAACCGTTGAGACATTCAACAAAAATTGCGCAAACTTACGTAATAAGAGAAAACCGACACTCGTTATACCCTGCTGCGTTTATGATCAATATCCGGTAAAAATCAATATTGGCTCCGATAATCGCAAAACAGTACGTGGCTGTTACATAATATTATGTCATTAATGAGATCCCGTTCAAAGTATCAAGATTGGGGAATTTTATTCCAAACGCAGGCAATATTAATGTGTACAAAAATGCAAACCTTTTATATAAATAAATAACTAAATAAATGAGTGAGTGAGTGTGTGAGTGAGTTGCTGAGTGAGTGAGTTGCTGAGTGAGTTTATATTATTTATAAGATAAATATAAACATAAAACTTAAATACTGAGTGAGTGAGTGAGTGAGTGAGTGAGTGAGTGAGTGAGTGAGTTTTTTACATATGCAAGTATTATATTATTTATAAGATAAATATAAACATAAAACTTAAATACTGAGTGAGTGAGTGAGTGAGTGAGTGAGTGAGTGAGTGAGTGAATACAAAAAGTACTATCTAATCGTCAATCGAAATTTGCTGTATAGCCAAATTTGTAGTGAAATTTACTTTGAGGAATAGAGTTTTTAAGGTATGAAATATGCTGAAGTTGATATTATAAATACCCAAGCAGAATAGAAAAAGTACCTAATCGTCAATCGCAATTGTTAATTATTTGCTGTATAGCCAAATTTGTAGTGGAATTTACTTTGAACAATAGAGTCCGTGAGACATGAAATATGCTAAAATTGTAATTGTAAATACCCAGCATATTAGCCCGATATCGGTTTGATATCCGAAATTTTCCAGTATAAGGAACGACAAACTCTGCAGAGAGACTGTTTGTAAGAAGAACTTTTTTATTCAATATATATTGTTAAAATTATTTTGATAATATCAAGCCATCCTAAACCAAATAACCAACGGAAGAAATAAAAAACATATTCTCTTCATTATAGCCCGAGACTAAAACCCGCCTATTTTTCACCTGCCATTCAAACAATGTGATTCTCAGACAATTATTTCGGTGTTGTTTTTTTTTTTTTTTTTTAAATTGTAAATTGTAAATGTAAATTGGAAATTTATCTCACAAATGATGAATATAAAATGTAATATTTAACCAAATTATAAAACTGTTTTATTGCGATAATCTTATGTTCAAGTACTGGTACAATAGCTTACAAATGTCACTTGTTGTCGCAATGTTTTATTTGTGTTTTTTTTCTCTGTGCAGTGATATTTAAATTTTTGTGATTTTTACAGGCCACAAAAATAGATGTGATAGGTAGGAGTGCAAAAGGGGTCCGAAATCTGCGATAAATTTAGAACATGGAAGTGTAAAGTCAAAGCCTTTGTGAATATTTTATACACTCTGTGACAGCTCTAAATTTAAATGTTGTAACGATAGTCCCACAAAGAATTCTTATAACTGTCCAATATTGATGGTTGATATTGGCCAATATTGACTTATGATGTTGGTCAAATATTGCATTACCATATCGTCCGTATATCGTTTTATATCGGTTCAATATTGGTTTGATGTTAAGAAGTACATCGGACCGATATAACGTCAAAACCGTTAGTGGGCCGATGTATAAATATGATAATGGGCCGATATTGAAAACAATGTCGGCTTGATATCAAATGCTTGCGGGGACTTGTCCGCAGGAGTAAAACAGATCATATATGGGCTTAAAAAGCAAACCAAATGGTAATGAGCTAGAATACCGCGTTGTCATGTATACAAAAGAAGATATTACAATATATACAATGTCGTTTCTTGTCTGCATGCCACAGACATTGTTGATGTATGGATGTTTTGCACGTTATCTGTATGCAATTAACGTGATAATACATCCAGGAAAAATTACATTAATTTTAGGCTTTCCTGTATTATGTTATTTTGTCGAATGCCTGACAAATGTTAGATCAGACTATTTTCCCTCTTTAAGAAATTGGCAATTCAGAAGTAAATCTTCATACGCTATTTCTATGAACTGAATGCGTATTTGCAAGAATATGGAATTTCGTATTTTAGCAGTATAAGGACTTGTTATAAAAAGTCCGTATATTAGTAAAATACGGACTTCGTACATCAATATTCCCGTAAATTACGAGTAAACGGTAAACAATATACTAGTCATATACGGACTGACATAATATACGGTCCCGAATATATCCGTATTTCAAGTTTCCCGTATTCTTACCCGAAAATTAATGATATACGGAAATCCGTTCACTTCGGATCCGTATATCCATATATTTTTCGCAGTGTAGTAGATGTTGACTTTGTCTTTCTTTGATTGCATTAAGTAATTTTGTAGAAATTATTGATATTACGAGTGTACAGTAAACAATTTACTAGTCATATACGGTCTGACATAATATACGGTCCCGTACATATCCGTATTTCAAGTTTCCAGTATTCTT